GTTGGAAAGAGGAATATTCGTCCTAAATTATTTTAGAGAATCTTTTCTCTTCAATTGGAAATATGAGAATATTTTCTATTTTTCCTTAGAATTTTTGTTCTATAAAATTGAATGGTTGAACTCGGAATAATGGAATCATAATTTAAATATATATTCGAATTCTTAGATTTCTACTATTAGAGACAATGTATAATCGATAGGTACCAATTTTGGGCGTTGTGGGGGTGCTTATCATTTCCCACACGTAACCGACCCCTGAACCCTTTCTTACTACTAAAAATGAATTTATGGTTATGCATAGATCGATAAATCTTTTAAAGTGACGTTTTCCTTAAAAAAAAAAAAAACTCTTTTAAAAGAAAATTTTTAGGTATTCGACCTACCTAACTCAAAAGGCCGATGGCGACTCCGAAACATTTATTTTACAAAACCGAGTTTTCTCAAAATAAGTCGAGACTGGTCGCATCGCCGCAAATCGGTTACGACACAGATCATCTGTGAATGGAATTTATGTGTACGTTTAACTGGTTGTCATGGTCATTTGACCTTTGTGAACCGACGGGGATCGTAATTTAAATCCGTAGTTGCATGACTTTCTGTATAAACCGTACGTGTTTTAGTGTAACACAAGTACTATCACATGCAATTTTAATTTTTGTTGTGCTTTTCAAGTTTTAGACCTCATTTTAGGTCACCAGTTATGGATTGGAATATCTTAACAGTTTCATGGTTACAACTTACAGGTTAATCATGCATTTCTTGGTGCTCACGGTTCATAGGAGTGAATTTCTTGGAATATTTGGTATGCAATGATTTTCTAGGATTCTAACTGGCCTCTGTTCTATTCATTATGTTGGCTTTAGATTTTTACATGTTTGAGTTCTGAATTAATTTCCTTTTAGATCGGCTCATGAAGTTACAAGTAAGACAATACTAAAAGTGTGAGGCTTGTAGGGCGAACGAAGCCCGCCGTAGGCCTACACGACGGGGTGTTGGGGGCTATGGCCCCCGCGATACGAAACAATATAATCAGTATGATCCTTATAAGTAGAAAGTAGAGATTTGGGTTTTGTGATGTAACGAATGTAATAAATCTTGTATTTTTCGATATAGTTAAATTTTCTTTTCTTGTGCCTGTGATTTTTATCTTTTGAGTTTTTCATCTAAATCTTAGTATTTTTTATTTTTCTATTTGATCATACTTATTTACCGTTAATCATTCCGATAATCATAACACATTTAACTTCTTCATTTTTTCTTTTAGATTTCTAAATTTTCACCTTTACTTCAAGTGCCCTTGGTCTTCCCATCATTAGAGCTAAACTATTTGAAGGTTCCTTCAATTTCTCATTACCTTGTTTTGGTACTATCAATTTATTGATGTTAAGAAATTTCTTAACTTGATTGATAAAGACCTTTTCCAAAAATCAAAATAAACTCATAAAATCTCAACATATCTTAAAATTGGACTAAAGAATTTTCCAGAGGCAAAATTAAAAATCTTATTAAATGAATTATTTTTTAAAAAAATATGACTAGTTTAATAAATGAATAGGGTTTGGTTCTCCCTTGTTTTGTTTTTATTATCAGTAGAGAGTCAAGATATGTGTAATTAAACACATCTCATTTTATTGATATGAAGATGCATTGTAATACCCTAACTCGATTCATTCTAAATTTGGAGGATTGAGTGATACATAAAATTATCGAAGTGACTAATTATTTTTAAAAAAGTATTTACTTAAATCTGATTAGCATACCCATCATACTCAAAATATAACCATAAGTTTAACGATAGTAAATAATAAGTTTACAAAATGAGGAGCTCTCGAAAATAATCCCGAGTATAATATCGAGTATACCAAAATAGAGTTACGACTCAAATATACATAAGGTCAATGAACAATACATGTCCTCTACAAATATCCAAGATATACTATGATATATCAAACGACTGAAATATGTAACCCAATGGTAAGCTTCTCGATCACCACCTAAGAACCTACGATCAAAAACATATTCTAAACATTGAGCTAACAAGTGCAGTGTCACACAAATAACTATATTATACTACATGCGATCATCGTATGAGCATGCCAACAAATATAGTCATGGAAGATTGGATTGAAAAGAATTTATCTCGACCTCAACACTTCCCTCTTAACACCGCTGATTGGGACCTCTTATTTGGCTCGGTTATTTGGTGTTTATGGAACCGTCGAAATCGAATTTTATTTGATGAAAATCATGTGTTTATAAACACCATTATAGTGCAAAGTAAGCAGATCCAATCAGAAGCACTAAATGACATCGCCAATCGCCGGATTGGTGAAGCTAGAAGAGAAAGCAATGTAAACCGGTCTCTCTCTTGGCAATGCCCCCCTGAAGGATGGCATAAAATTAAGGGTAAAGTATAGTAATGGTCACTGAACATTTCAGAAGCTTGCATTTAGGTCCCCCAACATTTAAAACTTGCAATACAGTCCCCCAACATTTATTCCGTTTGCAATATGGTCCCCCAACTTAAACCACAATTAGAAAATTAGGATAAATTATATAAATGGTCATTGAACTTTTCAGTCACTTGAATTTAGGTCCCCCAACTTTTAAAACTTGCAAAACAATCATCAATTTCATTCTAAACCCCAATTTCCAAAGTAATTCAATTTTATTCTAAACCCTAAATTCCAAAATACTTAAATTAAATTCAATTATGTCAAAGTTATTATTATTTAATTTCATCTTATTTCATGTGATACGTATTTTTTATATAAATATAATAGTATAATTCTTATCTGTTGAAGAAATTTTTTAATTAAAAAAAGTAGTTAGGATATAAAAGAGGTTGAAAATAATTCGAATTTTAAATTTATAAAATGTTATTTTGACGTATAAATAAAAGTGTAAACTACTCGGTTGACAACTTAACTATCTAGCCCTTTTTACTTTTGTCATCGATCTTTTAAATTTATCAATCATACCACATAATTATTTAACTGTTTCAACTAAGCCACTAGTCGTTACCAATTGAAAAATGATGATGTGGCAGTTAAAAGGAATTGACATTATTATACATTCAGTCTTTATTATTTATATAATCAATTTGGTCCTAAATTAAATAAAATTTAATAAATTAATCATTTAATTAGGATCTGACATGTGTTAGCACATGATCATGACACGTGTCATTGGTGACACGTGTTACCACCTAATTATTTATATATGCTATCAATTTGGTCCTAAATTAAATAAAATTTAATAAATTAATCATTTAATCAGGATCTGACATGTGTTAACACATGATCATGATATGTGTTATTGGTGACACATGTCACCTCCTAATTAGAAGAAAATTAAGTTACAAAGAAGTAAAATTTGGGTCTTGGGCAAACTCAAACCTGAGTCACGCAAATGAAAGATATAGGGTGGAACCACTAAGCTAACACCATCGTTTGTGTTAAGAGATATACAATAATACATATACTAATAGTATGACCAATGCCAGAAAAAAAAGAATATAATGTAAAATGGAAATAATGAGATTTGAACTTCGGCAAAAAATTTGAAAGCAATAAATGATGGGAAAATATTATATATTTTACAATAAAAAAATATTATATTTGATAAATTGTTTGATAGATTTAATATATTTTTTTAAATATTAGTTGATACAATATTTTAAAAGAATAAATTTAAGATTTATATATATTTTTAAACTAAATTTAATAATTATATTTTTCATATTTATAATTCATGATTATATATATATAATCTTAAGTTGAGTATTTCTAATATAATTAATAATTTTAATTTCTTATTAAAAATAAAATATTCAAAAAATATAAATGATTCATACATTAATATATGAATATATTTTTTATTTATACATCTAAATATAAATATACATTTATATAAATATATTTTTATTCGTTGTGTCTGTGCCTTGAACTCTTTCTTCAAGCCTATATGACCTTAAATTGAAGTATTTTAGAATTTAATTGAAGTATTTTAGAATTTAGGGTTTAGAATAAAATTGAATTACTTTGGAAATTGGGGTTTAGAATGAAATTGATGACTGTTTTGCAAGTTTTAAAAGTTGGGGGACCGAAATTCAAGTGACTGAAAAGTTCAATGACCGTTTATATAATTTATCCTAATTTTCTAACTGTGGTTTAAGTTGGGGGACCATATTGCAAACGGAATAAATGTTGGGGGACTGTATTGCAAGTTTTAAATGTTGGGGACCTAAATGCAAGTTTCAGAAATGTTCAGTGACCATTACTATACTTTACCCTAAAATTAATTCGGATGGTGCTCGCTGCAACGTAGATGGTTTTTCGACCTGCGGAAGTGTAATTCGAGACCATGAAGGAAGATAGATCGTGGGATATTCCAAAATCACTGGAAAGTGTTCGATTCTTGATGCGGAACTTTGGAGCATTTTTGAAGGATTATTGATTGCTTGAAATTTGGTATTGAACTCCATCATTTTGGAAACATATAGCAAGAAAGCTCTTAGCGAAATTACAGCTAGATCGGGATCGAGGAATACATCTTCAATGACTCCCTTTGTTACAAACTTGAGTAAAAGATGCTGGAGTTTGAAGTCCGTCTTTGTACTTAGGGAGAGGAATAAGGTAACGGATAACATGACGAGACTGACATGGTCACAACCGACATGATTAGAGATTTTTCAAACAACCCCGATGAAAGCGTTCAAAATAGTTCAGGAGGAGATGCGTGAAGCTCCAATGCAAAATAGAGATAACTAGCTCTTTTGCTTATTTCTTATTTCATTAAAAAAAAACTATAAGGTAAAACTAATTTATTCTATATGCCATATTATTAATAAATTTAAATATCAATTAATTTATAATATTATATTTAAAATAAATATTTAATCTTGTTAGAAGTAGAATAGTTTTCAATAACAATATCAAATCGAAATGACCCTAAATATAAATATACTAATAATTTTATTTATATATAAGATCTATAATTATACGTTCAAAAGTACTTGAAAATAACAAAATCTGATGGGAAATACTATTATTTCTCAAAACTGGATTCGTGGGAATCAACTCCTCAATGAAGAAAGCTTGCCTCCAATGGCTTCCACCTTTGCATAGTAAGCCAACGCCCAAGTTTTGCTGATAAGCAATGGCGCTATTACGCCCCAAAAGCCCACCAAGAACCCCATTGCAACACTGACATAAATCATATACTTTTCCACCCAACCTTCACTTCCTTCATTTCCATGGCTCCCATTAACAACATTCGGCGGTGTCCCAGCTTTGATGCTGCAATTCTCATTGATTGGAGGTCCACAAAGTTGATTCCCAATGTAAGAAAACTCGTCAAAGCTTTGAAGTTGAGTGCTTGATGGGATTCTTCCCCTCAAATCGTTGTATGATAAGTTCAAATGGCTCAAGAAATTCAAGTCGGACAAGCTTTCCGGGATTATACCAGACAAATGGTTCCTCGAAACATCGAGAGATTCCAACATCTTCAGGCTTCCAATATGGTCTGGTATGTTTCCACTCAGGGAATTCTCTGATAGATTCAACGATTGCAGCCCTTCAAGATTGGCTACTTCTCTGGGAATGTTTCCAGTGAGATTGTTGTTTGAAAGATCCATGGTGGTAACCAGTGAAAGAATGGTGCTGTATTCACGGACTCTCCCTTTCATTACCAGCAATTCATTCCTTATGAACTCCCCGTAAACGAAGTAATCAATGATATCATCAGCACCATTTTGTTTGGCAGCCATTGCAGTTAAATTCTTGAAACATTTTGGTATTTCCCCCGACAGATTGTTCACCCCAAGGTCCAAGATTTGCAGTGAACTAAGCTCACAAAGTTCATCAGGGATATGGCCATTGAAAGAGTTTGAACGAAGGCTTAGAATCATGAGATTTGGCAAACTTTTGCCGATCCACTTTGGGATGTTTCCAGTGAACTGGTTTTCACCAATATCAATCATGAACAAGTCACTGTTGTTTGCCAATGTCAATGGAAGCTCACCTGATAGCTTGTTGTTTCTAAGATTGAGAAACATGAAACCCAAATATCCTAAAGAAACTGGGATTTTGCCTGTCAGATTATTGTTTCCCATGTTCAGGACTCTAATGCCCTGCCATTGCAGCCAACAATCTGGGATTTCGCCTGACAGAAGATTGGTTTCAAGCTGAAGAAGGAACAGCTTTGGTTCACCTAATCTGTACTCACATAAAAAGCTTGAAAGTGAACCTGAAAATGAGTTGTTTGAGAAAAACAATGTTGCCACATCAGGGAGAATCCTTGGCAATGGACCTGAGAACCTGTTGGATCTCAAATCAGCAAGTTTATGAACTGGCAAAAATGGGATTTCACCTTCAAGTTGATTATGTGAAATGTTGAGGGACACCATTTTTGAAGTGAAGTTCCAGAACCAAGAGGGGACAACATCTGAAATCCCTGCACTGGATATGTCCAAAGTAGACAGATCCTTCTGAAACTGAATCCATGTTGGGAATTTGGGACCAAGAAACCAGTAACTCAATTCAATAGTTTGGCACTGAAATGGAGGGATCCAGTTTGATTTTGGTTCAAACTTCAACTTGTTTTGAGATGCTTTGAAAACTCTCAATCTTTTGAGATTAGAAAAGAAACCTTCTGACACAACCCCTTCCAACAGATTATAAGTAATGTCCACATATTCCAGATTCAAGGGGTTTTCAAGATTTTGAGGAAGATTTCCATCCAACTGATTGTCTGAAACATCAAGATATTGTAGAGATGAAAGGTTCCCTATGGAGATTGGAATGAAACCAGAGATGGAATTATGAGAAAGAGAGATATCAGATAGGCTTTTAAAGTGTCCAAGTTGATCAGTCAAATGGCCTGAAAGGTTGTTATATTCCAGATTCAGTGATTCCAATTCATCTGCACAGCATCTAAACAAGACCTTTAAGATATCTGGTATTTCCTGATGAAGATTGTTGTTTGACAAATCAAGTTTTCTCAAAGTGGAAAGATTCTCCAAGGAAATTGGAAGTGTTCCTTCAAGAAGATTTGCTGACAAGTCAAGAGTTCTAATGGAACTCAAGTTCCCAATGGAACCTGGGATTTTTCCTTGCACAAGGTTGCCTCCAAGGCTGAGGAATTCAAGATGTTCCAAGCTAAACAACCAATCAGGCAATGATGAATTGAAAGAGTTTTTGGAAAGATCAAGAGATTTGAGAGATGAAATGTTTTGAAAACTATTGGGAATCACACCTTCAAAGGCATTTCCACTAAGGTCAATGGAGACAAGGCTATCAAGACTGAATATCCAAGCAGGTACTGAAGGGGACAAATCGTTGTTTGAAAGATCAAGAACCAAAAGAGATGAGTAATTAACCATGATTGATGAAGGGTCATTGTCAAGAAAACAAGCTGACAAATGTAACTCTTTTAAACAAGGAAGTTTGTTGGTTACCTGAAACCAATCAATGGCTTTGCTAAGGTCCACTCCACTCAAATCAAGATACTCAAGTGAAGAAAAACCAGAAAGCCATTGAAAATTCTTAGCTTCAAACAACTGGTTACTATTACGTCCAAGGTCAAGATGCTGCAATTTTGACAGATTCCCAAGCTGATGAGGAATGGCTCCACCAAAGTTGGCACCAGAGAGGTCAAGATATGTTAAACTCTCCATTGAACCAAGGAAACCAGGAATCAGGGTGCCACCAAAGTTGTTATGGCTAAGATCGAGATGAACCAGATGGTTCAACGAAAGCAATGAAGGGTTTATTTTCCCTCTCAGCACTGATCTCCAGTGAACACCAAATTCAGCATCTGATGCATAAACCGTTGGGCTTGAAGGAGGCCTTAAATCCAGCTTATAGATATGGCCTGTTAGATTGTTGCAGTAAACTCCAAGCCATTTACAACAATCTCCATCATTTTCAGACCATGAAGATAGCCTGTTGGAACGATCAATGACATCCAGTTTGATATTTAAGAGAGCTCGTTTCTCACTCTCAATGCAAAAAAACCTGGAGTTTCCCTCACAGTAGGTAATCCCAACGGCTGCAAAAATGGTGATAAACGCCATGAAAGACATTGTGAAACCTCTCATTTTTTTGCTTTCCATACTCATAGTGGCTGCCAATTTATTAAAACTACCGTTGACTATTGTTTGTCTTCTAAAGTGTCCACAAATCACGCGTTTGAAGTTGAACAAAAAGAGTTGGTGGAGTCCGTACGACCGAAAATAGACCATACATATCACAAATTATTTCATGCGGATTCGGTTAAAGTTTCATCAATACTCAAATTAAATAGATTTGAATCGAATGAACTTGATTTGAGCTTAAACTCAACTCAAATTTTTAACGAGTCAAAACGAACTACTTGATATTCGATTCGTAAAAATAATATAATAAATTTTTAGATTTTTTAATTAAATTATTAATAGTATTAATATTTATATGTTATTTTTTATATCTAAAATATAAATTTTTTATATATTTAAAGTTCATGTTCAAGTTCGAGTCAAACTTTAATTTTTAATTTCGAATGAATCTTGAAAATTTAAATCTTACGAACTTTCAAATTAAGTAAAACTTAACAATTTTAAACTTACTAATTTTCGAATCAAACCTAATTTGATTTTAAAATTTTCCAAGTCAACTTTTACAGCTCTAATACGTACAAAAGATTTTCTGCTTTAATGAAATAATATATATTATAATAGCTCCCTAGTGACGCTTTACTAAATTTCAAACCAAAAATTATTCATCGAAAAGAATGTCAAACAATTAGTTTATTGCATTTGCCTTCCAACTCAAAGGAGCACATCATCATATTTGATAGGGTAAACTACACTTTTAGTACCTCAAACATCACTTATTTTTTATTTTGGTCACCTAACTATTTTTTTTTCCAAAATCTTACCTGACATTACATTTTCATTTTATTTTGGTCATCCGCTGTTAAAAAATTAACAGAATTGATGATGTGGTATTTAAAAAAAAATCAATAATGATGTGTCGTTATCTTATGATGACACGTTAGTATCACAGTTAATATTTTAATGACGAGTGACCAAAATAAAATTAAACTAAATATTAAGTATAATTTTAAAAAAAAATATAGTTGAATTATCAAAACGGAGCAAAAATTAGAGTTGGAATAATAAAAGAATAGTTTATCATCTTTGATATTCAAAATATAAATATAAAGTTTATAGGAAAAAGATCTAAAATTTTGAGGAACACAATGTAAACCTTAATTAATTGTTTTGGTCATTCTTTTGAAATCATCTCCTTAATAACCCTTGTCTTTCCTTTTACGAAATTTACAAAAATGAAAAAAAAAAAAGGTTCAAGTCTTCGCACTGAGTCAACGTAGGAGACAGGGAATGTCACAAACTCTATATGAAAGATTCCATCGCGTCATCTGATTTATTTATTTTACAAAAATGAGAAATAAAAAATAAAGGCTTAATATAAAATTAATGGTTTAAATTATATGTTTTTTTTTCAAATAGATCTCTAAACTTTTTTTTGTCAATCTAAGTGTCTAACGTTATAAACGTTATCACTTTAGGTTTCTGGTCTGTAGACGTTAAATTCCGACATTAAGTAAGGCGTGTCACGTTGATGTAATTTTGAAAATTTAAAAACATAAAATTATATTTTTTTTATAAAAAAACCCAAAATTTTCGAAAATTTTAAAAACACCCCAAATTTTGAAAACCCTAAATCTAATCCCTATACCCATCCTACTCGTCGGCCTTGTCGTCGTTTCCGTCGGTCACACCTCCACCAGATCATGCCTCCACAGACAACCAGTTATCCGATAGCAAGGACGACCATCTCGACTCCACGCGACTAAATCATGAACCTCCACCCGCCGCCCTAAATTGTGACCTCGACAACCATCTCGACACTAAGGACAACACCGTCCAACTAGTGAGATGGCAAGGATGGTGTCGCGTGGCGGTGGCCATGGTCGGCGAGGGAGGTAAGGTTAGGGTTAGGAATTTAATATTTTTAGGGATTTAAGTTTTTTATAATTTTAGATAAATTAGGGTTTTTATAAATATAATATTTTTTTTAAAATATTTTTTAAAATTATTATAACGTGAAACATGTCACTTGAATGAATTTTTAACGACAATTACGACCCGAGCACCTAGATTGACCGAAAAAAATGTTTATGCACTTATTTGAAAAAAGTGGTATAATATAGACATTTATTTTATATTATGCTAAAAATAAAAGAAAGAAGTAAACAAAGGGTTGGAAGTCTTCGCACTAAGTTAAGAAAGTGTTGCAAAAGTCTAGAGAAAAGATTCCATCGTTATCTGGTTTTACATATTAGGGTAAACTATTAAAATGATGACTTTTCTTTTATCTTTGTTCACTTTTGCCCATTAAAAAGAAGAAGAAAAGATAACACTTTAGTCACTTACATTATCATTTGATAATAATTTGGCTATTAGGGGGTTAACTACTTTTATTCATAAACACAATGTAACTTGGCACGATAAATAAATAAAATAAAAATACGTCATTTTCATATGGATTACGTAAAAAATAAAGTTTGACCCTTATCTTCATTACCCTGATCATTACCCTTATCAACTTTTGCAATACTTTTAAGAGGAGGAAAATCAAGAGCAGAGTACCCATTTATCATTGTAGACAACAAGTTGAGATCATCATTGCCTGGACTAATGAGAACCCAAGTAGGGAATTCTTTGTTAGTGACTAGATAGTTGATTCCGGCTATTAGTTAGTTTCTTGTTACTGTTAGTTCAATCGGCTGTAGAAACAATTAGTTTCATGTATAAATATAGATAGTTGTAAACAATAATGATGAATGAGAATGCAATATCATTTTGTGCATTTCTCTGATATTTTGATATAGTAATAATATTCAATTAGCGATTAAAGAATGAAATATATTGTTATTCACCTTCTTACAATAATGTTAATTTTTAACCAACAATCAATTGTCTAGTGGGATGAGATATTAAATTCTTTAAGCAAGGTTAGGGGTTCGATCCCTGGCGATTGAGAATGGAACAAATTAGGTTGGATGGATCGCCATCGTCTCTGCAGTACCCGATCTAGATTAGTCGATCTCTAAATCGGATATCAGTGATTAATTCAAAAGAAAAATAATGTTAATTTTTAAGTTGGTCTATGATGTTCATACGGGATGTGTGAATTGATTTTAAGGGTAAGAAAATAATTAACGTCTTGCCTTATTAGGATGTACCAATCCTGTTAACTCTAATTTTATACCCAAAAAAATGTTAAAACAGTACAAATTAACAACTATTTTTAAATAAATTTAAGATATATTTATTCGAGATAAGACCAATAGAGACATCAGTTTCCGAAATGAACATCAAATGTGCTAACAAGTAAAATTTCAGCTGAACTCATTCAACGACTTCAGTGGTTAGAACGAGTGTTGTTCTTTCTAGAGGTCTCAGATTTGAACAGTTACGTCTACAAATACCACATTATAATCACTCCATACTATTAAAAAACAAATAAAATTTCAAGTAAGTGAAATAACTTAAATGCTAAATAATACACCAAAATAGAAAAAAGAACATTTATTTCAAATAAGTGAAATAAATAAATATGCAACCCAAATGCTAAATAATACAACAACAAAAAAAACATTTATTTCAAATAAACAAGAAGTTGAAGCCCAAAGAATGAACAACCAATGGAAAGAACAGCTTTAGCAAAACCAGGAGTATCAGTCAATGCTGCATATGTGCCTGAAACAAAACCTATCACCATTGCAGTAATCCCATAACTCGTTAACAACGTTGTGAGATACGTATAGAATGCATGAACATCCAGATTTTCCACAAATGATTTGCAGTAATGGAGGAACATCGATGTGGTTGAGAAGCAAAAGTCCAAAGCATTGGCTACCACAAACACCCTAAAAGCCAATTTCCTGCTCAAAATCGCCATACCCTCTTCGGGGCCATCGCTCTTGTACCCACCAGGCATGGTGAAACCTGCGGCGAATGATACGATGGCGATCAGTATTGTCACCACTAAGTTTATACTGGCGATGTTTTGGAGTTGCTCGAGGTTGGGTTGTCTGAGTGCTGCGGGTTCAGGTTTTCTGTTTGAAATAAATTGGGCTTCAACGGCGGCAGCGTCAGATCCTGTCTGAGGTTGTTGTTGACAAGCTCGATCTTGTTTTTCTTCCGTTCTTGTTGATTGCATGCTCCAAACTTTCTAGACCTCCATTGCTAGAAAGACTCATTGTAACCCAAATCTGCAAGTACCGCAAATACTTGGATTTGAAACTCCTAAAATGTAATAAAATACAAATTAAAAGGACATTCAGGAATGAATTGAGTACCTTTTCATAGTAACCATACTCCAACAAAATAATGTCGATAACAGTGAGACCCTCCATGTTTCTGACTGTCTTGTCTACCCTACTATCTTTTATCAGCAGCTCAAAGATTTGCTGGTTATTTCCATGGATTGTTGCAAGATGCAACGCAGTGTTACCTTCGTTATTTTACTGGTTTATAAGCCCGTCATGCGAGAGACCAATACCAAGAATAAACTTCACAGAAGCGAGTTTCCCTCTTTCAACCGTCAGGTGAAATGCCGTTTGGCCTTTATTATCTTGTACATCCCAGATTTCTGGGAACGAATATGCCAGCAATTCTAATATGTAAGCTTCGTCTTCTCTTATGGTCATGCCTTGTTTATCTCTTTTATGAGCGATTGATGAATCGGCGTGGTTTAAAAACACCCTGAAAATGTCGAAGCCACCCAAATGGGTTGCATAGTGCAGCGGCGTCCATCCGAACTCATCAGCTTCGGAGAGTGCTGGTGGGCATTTTTCCAACAAGAGTTTCGCGAAATCTGGACCAAGAAGAATGTTCAACACATGATAAATATTGATTCAGATACAATTTAGCATATGATTATGATCTTAAATGGACTGCCCTATGTTTCTTCGGTTAGGGTTCTATTATCATATTCTATTTTCTTTTTTTTAATATATTAGGAAGATTATAAGATAATATATATTCAAAATTTTCTTAGTCATTGATAACAAATACCCTAAAAATGCAATTATTCAAGCTTGG